GCCTCTCCATGAGACTTCCTTCTGGGCCCGCTCCCGCTTTTCCTGCCATTCCTGGGTGTTGGTCCCAAACCCTGTTGCCACATCTGCCTCTGAAGAACCCATCCGCCACGGCATCCAGGCACCCCCAGAGTGGCCAGGCACCTGACCTTCAGAACTGAAACCTGAGCCATCACGGACCCAAGAGTGAGAGAAACAACCGGCCTGGTCGCTAGGACAGCACGTGTGGACAAAGCTACAACTCGGGGATGTCCTCCCGTGGGAGCCCCGCTCCCTAAAAGGCAGGACTCCCTTCCCCCCAGACCAGCTCCTCTGCACTTGGCTTTCCAGCAGGTGGTGCCAGTTTTGCAGTCCCGGCTCAAGACATCCAAGGCTTCTCCAGTTGCCTTTCTCCTCTGCTCTCATAGCCAAGCAAGTACTGACTTCGGGAGGCTCCGCCTCTGCCCCGCCTCCTGCCACCACCTGCGTCTGGGCTAGGCTCAGCGCTGCCTCCCGCTTGGGCCACCACCGCAGCCCCCTGCAGACCTCCCTCTCCAGTTCGCCCCTCCATTCTGACTGTCAGATGGCTATCCCGGTGCAGGCTCCTACCCCTGGGATGCCCCCCTCTGCTCCCCGTCATTGCTCTGAAGGAGGAAGGGAATGCTGGACGTGCAGGAATCACCCCAGTCCCCTACACCTGCTTCCCCTCCACCCCCCCGGGCACTGGGTGGGGGGTGTTCGTTGCTGCTTGAGACAAATGCCCCAATAAAAACAAAGGTGGTAAAACAAGGTGAATCGGATGAGAAGTTTCTGCTTCCGTATGGATTCGGATCCGCGTTATTTCCTTACCTTGGACTCCGAAGACTGAGCGCTCATTCAGCAGCGGAGACGTCGCTTGCGGCTAAGCACATGTGCGTGTGCAGGCGTGTAGAGTCCCAAGAACAGAAGCGTTGGGCGATTTGCTGGCACTCGACTCCAGGGGATAGAGAAATACTCTGTAATACAAATTGCTTTAAAATGCCCGCGCCCCGGTGTGTAGACGGGCAGCTGTGCATGTGGGAGACCTAGACCTGCCTGGAGGAGTCTGGTATAACCTCCCTGGGCTGCCACAGCTAAGCCATGGCTGCACACCTGTGTGCTTCTAGCTAGGGTGTTGGCAGGTGCGAGAATCAGTGCAGATACTGTGAGAAAGTGCTGGAAAGAGGGAGAGATGGGATGTCAACTATTAGACCTGGCATCCTTCTCTTCTAAGAGAACTGGCTTGGCCTGGCTTTCTCAGAAACCAAGAGAGGCTTGCTACTCTTGCTGTATTTTCCTGTTAACAAGCAACAAAACAAAGTAATTGCTGTGAGTTTCACTTTCCCTTCTTTGAGCTATTCATTTTCAAGCAGATCCCGTGGAGGATAATTTAATACCGCACTTGTCTGCCAAGGAAGCAGAGTGCTTGCCCCTCTTGCATCCTTACTGTGAAGTGAGCTGAGGCCAGGGAACATCAGGCCCATTTTACAGATGAGTAGAGTGAAGCCAAGAGACCTGTTCATTCTCTTGTTAAGGATGTCAGACAAAATCATAATCTGGAGTGTAATTCATTAATTTTTTATTTTCTTCTTCTTAACCAACAGAGCCACCCAGGCACCCCTATATTTTCTTCTTTACAAATTGAGAAATGCATAAGCATTGTGGAAGATTATGTCCTGCAGATGAAGGCAATAAAAATGAGAATAATCCTGGGGAGTATGTGTGAAGGGGACCCTCGCTGGGGTGGAACTGGAAGGAAAGTGAGCCGAAGTTCCCATTGGCACCCTCCCCAACCACTCCAAAATTCTGATGAGCAGGTGGCCAGAGCAAGGAACTCCCCCAACCTCCAGAAAGATTCAAGCGCACAGGATGCTAGCTTTTTTCATTAATAACATCAGAGACACTAAAGCATAAAGCTAGACAGCAGCCTCAGGTGAATCTCCTTCCACCGGTCTGGGTTTTGTTTGTAAGAGGAGGCCTGGATGAAAAGGTAGGAGACAGGGGCCCACTCAGAGGGCAGTTCGGGAGGACAGGGCAAGGTTCTGCAGTGCTGCAGGCTCCAGCCACCCCACTGCCCCCAGGAGCTGACCACGCTCCTGCCTGAAGCTATATTGTACCACTCCATCTGCTCCTGAGCCTTAGAAGCCCTGGGTGGGAGCCTCTGTGCCCTGAGGGCCTCATTAAGCCTGTGAAAAGGCATATGGTCTTTCTCACTGTCAGGGCTTGTCCGAGGCTCAGGCTGGGGCAAGACCTCTTTCCCGGGGCGCACCTGGGCTGCTGGGCCTGGCCTGGGCCTGGACAGGTGCACCCGGGCCCTGGGCCCACTCAGAGGAGTCCCCTTCAGTCTGTTTGTTTGTTTGTTTGTTTTTTTCTTTTTTTAGAGTTTATTTACTTATTTGACTGAGAGAGAGTGCAAGTAGGCAGAGAAGCAGGCAGAGAGAGAAGAGGAAGCAGGCTCCCCACTGAGCAGAGAGCCCAATGCAGGGCTCAATCCCAGGACTCTGGGATCATGACCTGATCCGAAGGCAGAGGCTTTAACCCCCTGAGCCACGCAGGCACCCCTAAAACTCTGTACCTTCTTAGTGAAAAGGGTCTGCTGAGACTTTCCCCCCGCCTCATTGATTAGTGGACTTAATCCACTGGAGGGCTGTGGCCAGATTGCAGCTGGGGGCAAGGATTCCAATCAGATCCCTCCAGAAGGCAGGCCCACTGGTTGCAGCTACCCCAACCCTTCTGGGGGGTTCACTTTTTGCTCTGTCTTACCATGGCCTGGTTTCCCCTCAGATTTCTGCCACCAACCATCATCACCCCTGTGACCACAGAGCTCATTCTTCTCACCCACTTACCCGGCCTGAAATGTCATCGTTCGATAGAGGCCACGGGTGTATCGCGAGCTTGTCTCTCTCACCGTAGTGTGAATTTATGCATCAGATCAAGTGTGCTTGTCTAGCAGCTGCGTGGGATTTGGAAGAGGAAGGATGGACTCTCGCATGGGAAAGCAAAGCGTGGCTTTGGAGCTTGCAAGGCTGTGATGAAGGGAGCCCGGGTTTCTTCAGATCAGTGGGCGGGCCAGAGAGAGGTGTGAAAGGAGAGGGAGTGGAAAGGGGAAGTCTCAGAAGACGCAGTTCACATCAACTCAATTTGACCTACTTCACACTTCTGCTCGGGCGCCACCTAACTGGAAAAGAAATGTTGATATTCACTCAAATAATGAAGAGATGAGGGCGACTGGATGGCTCTGGTGGACAGAAGTGACCGACTTTTTTTTTCTGCTAGAAATTCTGTGCACAATCCGTTCTGCAGAGTTCAAGGACCTTTGCTAACAAACAGGCGTTCTGTTCACATGCAAACTTGGACTTGGGTGGCGGGGAGCTCCCACGCTCCCTCCCAGGATCAAGATTCTTCTGCTCACTCCTCATTCCCAGCACAACCCTGGCACTTTCTCACCCCAGTGCCTTTGCTTTTGCTGTTCTTGTCCTAAGGACTGGCTTTCTCTGGCTTCTACCCATCCTTTGAGGCCTGCTCGATGGTGTCTTTTCTCTTTAGCTTTTCTTGATACCATCCATTCATTCATTCATTCAGTCCTTCAGCAAATGTTTCCCGAGGGCCCACTATGTACGAGGCAGTCCTCCAGCTGATGAAGTCCAGCGGTAAACAAAACAGACTCAGCCCTTACCTTTATGGAGCTACTGTATTCTGGTAGTCAGCACCCTTCTTCCCGAGACAAAAGTAATCACGCCACTCCCCAAGGTCACATGTTTGTACTGCAGTGGTTATCCTATGGTCTTAGAAGGGGCTGGCGTCTGGTCCTCCCAGTCTCCTCTGTGATGTACCCCATGCCAAGCACCAGAAGCAGCCCTTGATTTCTTTATTATTTTTTAAATATTTTATTTATTTATTTGACAGAGAGAGATCACAAGTAAGCAGAGAGGCAGACAGAGGGGAAGGGGGTGGGGGAAGCAGGCCCCCTGCTGAGCAGAGAGCCAATGGGGCTGGATCCTAGGAATCATGACCTCAGCTGAAGGCAGAGGCTTAACCCACTGAGCCACCCAGGCACCAGTTGATTTCATTATACAAGGAATTAAGGAGAGCACATCTGGTAGGAAAGGGAGAGGTAAGGGTTTGTTTTGTTTTGTTTTGTTTTTTTACGATTTTATTTATTTATTTTCAGAGAGAGAGAGCAAAATCAGGGGGAGCAGCAGGCAGGAGAAGCAGGGTCCCTACTGAGCAAGGAGCCCAGTATGGGGCTCTATCCCAGGATCCCGGGATCATTATCTGAGCCAAAGACTTAACCCACAGAGCCACCCAGGCATCCCAGAGACAAGGGGTCTTTTTTTTTTTTTTTAAGATTTTATTTATTTGACAGAGAGAGACACACACAGAGAGAGAACACAAGCAGGGGGAGTGGGAGAGGGAGAAGTTGGCTTCCCACGGAGCAGAGAGACCGAGGCCGGGCTGGATCCCAGGTCGGTGGGATCATAACCTGAGCCAAAGGCAGATGCTTAAACACTGAACCACCCAGGCCCCCAGAGGTGAGAGATCTTATGTGCAAACTCATATGCAAAACTTGTACGCACAGCACGTGTGCCATTTTTACTCAGCCTTAGTATTGCATAAAGGATCACTAAAGCGGTTTGGGGAATTTATCCTAAAGCTGTGTTGTCCTGGTAGACACAGGGTTATATCACTTGGGGTGTGTTTTTTTGGGATGGCTTTGGGGGTGATGGATTTAGGAGAGCTCAAGTTCCCCTCAGGCTATTTCTTGGGAGCCACCCCAGTCGGGTCCATAGTAGCTTCCCAGGACCTGGTGGGATTGTTGCTGAAAGGGCAGGAAAGTGTAATATGGACCCAGCCATCTGATCCCAGGGCCGGGCACTGTGTGGGTGTGAAGCACACCTGGGACTCCAGCGAGCTGGTGTGAGCTCGGGTTACAGTTGGCAGAGGCCCTCTGAAGGAGCTGCTCCCTGGCACACTCCTCCTCCTCGGAGCCCTGGGGATGAAACCAGGAGGGACGCAGCTGCCCCTGGAGGAAGCAGGGCGACATCCTGTATACTTGAAAAGAAAACTGAAAGTGCCCTTCTTCACAAGAAACTATTGTGTTTTCCTCTTTTTTCATAACCCACAGGTATGACCGAGTTCCTCTGGTCCTGGGCTGTGGGTGAAATAGGGGCGGGGGGGGGGGAGGGGGAGCCAGAGAGGTATGAAGGGAATTTGGATTGTTGCGTGGTGCATGTTCTTTGTCTAACTCAGGGAAGGTGTCAGCCGGCTGGAGCCCACCCCGAGGAGCCCCGTGCTATATGATACGGGTCCTGGTGATAGGAACCTCTCTTCTGGCTGTTAACATGCATTCCTGTGTAGATGTGGAAAGAGAGAAAGCATGCCGGAGCGGGAGCTAGGATAGGAATGTGAGTATTTCCTTAATTGGACACGAGAGCCTTGAACTGGTTCCAGTTTGGGTGTTTTCTTTCAAGAGCCTGGACCCCAAAGATTCCGTAGAGTTTTCTTTCTCACAAGATCCCTTTGGTTCAAAAGCCCCTTGATAGAAATAAAGAAAAAGCCAGGGCTGAATCTCTTTGATATTTGGGAAGGCAAGAGTCTGTGGGCTGCCAGATAGCAGGCTTCTTTGCGTGGTGAGGAGGTTCTGGGTGGAAAGAAGGAGGCCCCTCCTAAGACGGTACAGGGCAAGAGTGCCCACAGGCTTTCTGTCGGGTCTCAGAGCCTGGATGGGAGGATGCAAAGCACTTCCCCTTGAGTATTGATAGAAGAAATTTCTCTTAGCCTTCTGAGTGTTCTGAGAACTCAAAAGATTCCTCTTGCCTCCTTTATTGCTTTAGGAGTCTGCAGCACAGAGAAGTCATGCAACGGGCCTGAGAACTCACAGCAAAGTAAGTCAAAGGCTAGAGGATTTTGCCTGGTAGGTTGGGTGGTTTTGTGTGAGGACTAGTCACCTGATGGCTGATGTGAGAAAGCAGCCCATGAACGGGCATTGGCCTTGTGTCCAGAACCCAGGTGGACACTTGCTGTGAGGCACCAAAGACGAACTCGTAGGGGGTGAGGGGTGATGTGGGGACACTGGGAGCACCCACTGGGCAGAGCTCTGCTACTTGCCTCTCATGTCTGGCACTCCCCCTCCCCCACCCAGCGCTGGAAACTTCAGTCAAGGGACTCCAGGGGAAAATGGGGGCGGTCCATGGCTTAACTGAGTGAAAAACCAAAGCAGATACAATCAGCTCTGCTGAACCCCATCTTTCCCCCCAAAACACCTTAAAAACAAGCCCCGCGTCTGCTCAGTGCTTTCCAGCTTACCAAGTGTTTTCATAACACTCTCTCATTTCATCCTCACATCAACCCACACACATTCTTGCCTTTCAGATTTCTTATGTACTCAAATGAGTTTCCTTGAAAAAATTGGCTAGAAACTCCCTTTCTTCTACTCATGTTTTTTTTTTTAAACCCCAAGACTTTGACTGATATCTTTAAGAAGCTCCCAGATTCCCAGGGTGGGAAATGTATTTATTCTGCCAGCCCTACCCCATTGGGTGGACTCCAGTAGTTCTGGTCTCTGCTATTGGAACTAACATTAAAAAACAAAACAAAGCAAAACACTTATTTATTTGAAAGAGAGAGAGTGAGCAGGGAGAGGGAGAGAAGCAGGCTCCCTGCTGAGCACGGACACCCCCTTGACGACGATGATGATGGTGATGATGGCGATGACGATGGCAACAATGATGATGGCATGGGGGGGATGAGAAGGGGCTCAATCTCACAACCCTGAGATCATGACCTGAACCAAATCAAGAGTTGGATGCTTAACTGACAGAGCCACCCAGGTGCCCCTGGAGCTAACATTTTATATTCAGCTTGTAGTTGATCTGTTAAAACAAATAAAGGCACAAGGGCTGGGATAAGCCTAGGACTGTGGGGAAAACAGAGGCTTTAGAACAAAGACCCAGAGTCAAATTCTGGCTCAGCCATTCGAGAACTATGTGGCCCTGGCCCAGTTACTCAATCTCTCAGAACCTCTCTCCATCTGACAAATGGGACAATAGTGCCTATGTCTTAAAGTCATCATGAGGGGTAAACATGCTAGCAGATGCAAGCGCACCTTAGGCAACAGCTACTTTGTGAAGTCCCTTGGAGCTGAACACAGCACCGACGTCACCACTGCTAGGCAGGTTAAAAGGAATGCTGTCTTTTTGAAAGGCAGGAGGGAGATTAAGCATGGAAATACACTGCAAAGGAATTTAGATGGAGACTTTTTTACTCAATGAATAATTAGCTACATGGCCTGCATACCTGCACAGGGATGCCACGGGTAACTGAGTACCTTTATTCTTTTTTTAATTCTTATTTTAGGTGCAAGAGAAAAGGAGCTGGGAAACTGGATTTAGGCGATGTTGGAAAGCAAGGCGGTTCTGATTACACTTGGATTTTTGTTGAAGCAGAATTGCAATTCGACCCTTGAGTCCCTGAAGCAAAGGCGGCAGAGGGAGAGGTGCGGAGGGCTGTTTAGTTCCCTGAGCGGTACACAGTAGGTGCTCAGGAAATCCCCAGTGGTGGGCTGACAGGGTTCGGAGAGTCCAGATCTTGAGTTTGACTTTCGCTGCTGACTTCTTGGCAGAGGCATAGCACTGTAGTGGAAAGAACATTTGACCAGTGGTCTGAAGGCCCACGTTCAGGTTCCACCTACACCATTTAATAGCCTGGTGACCTTGGAGGTGCCATTTAATCTCTTAGGTGTCTTCTCACCTGTAAAATGAGGAGACTGGATTCGGTGATTTGGAAAGTCTCTTTCAGCTCTAAGGTTCTGGGGCTCTATGTTCACTTCATTCAGTGGTGTTTCTGTTTCTTTATTTGAAAGCAATAGGAATAGAAACCTATCTCATAGGATATTTGGGAAGCCGTGGTCAGTCTGCATGTTTAAATACCCTGTGTCTTTACAGGTATGATCAGAGCCATGTAGCATGTAGCTGCGTGATCTCCGGCAAGTGCCCTAATTTATTTCAGACTCTGTTTGCACACTCTGGGCCAGGGACCACATATTGTGCTATGGGACTCTTATTACATTCTTTTGAAAGCCGAGATCATGAAAATGCTTTGAAAACGGCCAGGCACTACATCAAGTATTATGATTGAGAAATGGCATAGTTGTTATAGTGACATCAAAGTTTAGTCCCGTGCCTCCCCTATTTTCATATGAATGAATGTGTCGCCATGGTTTCAGAAAACAAAGAGTACATTTGAGGTTCTAACCTAAGGCTTGCTTTCCACTCCAACTTATTGACAAGAAGTAAATTTCAGTTAAAATGGCCATTAATATAAAGTTTCCTCAAGAGCAGGCATCAGGGGGCACCTGGGTGACTCAGTTGTTAAGCGTCTGTCTTCGGCTCCAGTCATGACCTCAGGGTCTATGGATGGAGTCCCACATCGGGCTGCCTGCTCAGCGGACAGCCTGCTTCTCCCTCTCCCAGTCACCCTGCTTGTATTCCCTCTCTTGCTGTCTCTCTCTGTCAAGTAAATACATAAAATCTTAAAAAAAAAAAAAAGGCATCAGGGAGTTACCCCAAGATTCTCCAGTGCAGGGGATTTTTCAGGAGCCCAGACATCTGCTGGTGGAGACCTTACATCCCACCCTCTTCAAAATGAGGCCATTTTAAGGGTGTGTGTGTTGCAGGGGTAGAGGATAGCTTTCTGAGTCTAGAAAGTTTCGCAAGCAGTAATCATCAATATGTAACTGGGGGGTGGGGCTATTGGTATATGAAAATGGTGAGTCAGTTTTTCATCCCAGGCCTTGCCAGGGATTGCTACTGGGGAGAAATGGCAGAAGACAGGAACCCTGCTCTCCCAGGGCCGACGTTAGTCCCTGGAAATCCACAGTGTGTAAACCAGCTCTCCGAGCACGGGCATCTCCTTTGACTCCCTAGATGACTATATGTCCCAACCAGCCTTTTGAGAACTTCTCCCCCCTTGCAAAAGGCACAAACAACCCTGTTAGCAGTAATCCCGTACTGGAGCATCTCCCCTTAGCACAGGTCCACAGGAGCCTTGGTGCCCCCATCAGTTCACCATCTCCCCGAGGAACACCATGGAGGTGGCACTTGGAAGCATGAATCAATTTCTCATTTATGTTATGCGGTGGGGTGGGGGTGAGCAGAAGCTCCTGAATTTCTCTGGTTGGAAGGAACAACTTGGGGGGGGGATCAGAGAGTGAGGGGTTGTCTTGGAGCTGTGTTTTCATAGGAAGTACACTGTTTATTACTCAGGCAGGACATGTACGAATGACCAAAAATAGCAAGGTTGTTTTTATTTAATCCTCGTGGTTATTTTTATTTGGGTTAGCTTGGGAGGGCTCATGAAAATTATGAGGGCCTCCTCATGGTCCTGCCCCTGTTCAACCAACATCACCATGAATCCTATCACTCCTCACCCCAGTTCTGCTTATGTGTTTCCACTTTTAAGCCTATATATGGATTCAAGACATTCACTACCTTTCAAAGAGATGATTGACTCCAAAGCCCATTTAATTTTGCCAAGTTTTTGAAAGCTCCCCCTTCCTCTCCTGCACACACACACTTCCTCAATCCCCAGTACACACATAGATCAGGGTTATAAAGCCATTTTACAGGAGTTTTTGAAGCAGAGGTGTGAAGCAACGCGCTCCCGCCACAGAGGGGCAGACTCCCAGCCTGGCTCTGGGGGCTGCGAAGCCTGACCACCAGGACAGACCCTGGAGTTGTAATTCCTGGGCAGTGTGGGAGGGGTTTGGCCCAAGCTCTTTGTTTCAGATCCCGAGTCAAGGCTGGTTGGGGTGCCCACCCGCACCCACTGCCCCGTGCCGCCGTTGTGTAGGTGTCCAGTGGAAAAACCCTTCGACGATACCACATCCTTTCACACACAAATAAAACCCTCCACGGATCCGCGGGCTGCAGACCAGCCCCTTGCAAGCTAACGCGATCCCCACGGGTACTCGGTCTCCCCGGCTTCGCGCTCCCTCCCTCCTTCCCACCGCCTCTTTTTTAGCGATGCTCCTATTCTCACACAGCTTGCTGGAGATGGAAGGGACGCGCCTCGGGCCTGGTTTGGGGGATGAACTCTGAAGAGGGGTCCCGAGTTATGAGTCGGGGACGGCGAGAGGGTGCAAAGGAGGGCGCCGGCGTCTGGCATTCAGGGTCGAGGGATGGCGCCCTCCTACCGCGCAGCGCGGCCGCCGAGCGGTCACGTCCGGAGCGGGTCCCGTGCCCTCTTCAAGCCTACGATCCTCCGCCCCGGGTGCCCAGGGGGTGTGTGGAAGGAGCAGGCCGCGGGCGCGGGAGGGTTTGTCGCCAGGAAGCGGCGCTGACATTGAACTGATGCGTGCGTGTGTGTGCGCGCGCTCGCGTGTATCCACGCGCGTGTCTGCGTGTGTGAGTCTTGGGGAGGGAGCCCGGTTGGAAGCAAACCACGGCCTTCGGGGAGCTGAGCCGAGCGCGCCCCCGAGCCGCCGCCTGCAGGAGCTGTGAGCGCTGAAGCCATTCATGATTTTGGTGACGTTATTCCAGGAGTGGGCGAGAGGGGGGCGGGGCCTCCCGGGCCCGAGCCCCGCCCCCGCCCCTATAAATACAGCTTCCCCGGCTCTTTGTGGGGCCGCGAGCTCGGTGGAGAACCGAGAGCTCCGTGTGCGCTGCAGACGCCCTGGCAGTGGGGTTGTCTCCGGAAGGCGGACCGGTGAACGCCTAGTGCCCGCACCCCGCCGCCTGCCGCGCCTGTCTGCGCCCCTGACATCCTTACTCGGGACGCGGTGACCGTTTTTAAATCACAAGGGCGTGGGTCAGCCTCCCCTAGGACTTCATGTCTGTATATTTCCCCATTCACTGGTGAGTACCCTGCGCCCTCGGCGGGCATCCGTCTCGCGGCCATGGCTGCGGGGTCCGGGCGCCCGCTCCTGCGGACTCGGGTGCGAGGGCAGCAGGCGGCGCGGGCGCCGGCACCCACCCGCCGCCCTAGCCCGTGCAGGAGTCAACGTCAAGGTTGCAAAGGTGGGGGTGGGGGGAGGTGGTGCCGAGAGCATCCAGACAAAGGGAGTGAACTCGAAGCCCTCACTTAAGTGACGGCTGGGAGGGTGTGTATGTGCTGGTGGTGAGGTCGGCAGGCGGGGGGAGAACCTGGGATCAAGCCTGAATGCCGCTAATAAAACCCCCAATGCAGAGGGCTGCAGGAGGCACGCGCCCCGACTGGCGCAGGGGGCTCCAGCTATCCCCCGGCCCCTCCCCTTTTTCTTTTTGTTTGCACGCAAGTCTCGGCGTCGAGGCCGGCGGCAGCGGGGCTGAGCTGGTGCAGCGGAGGCTTTTGCAGAGCGTCGAGAGGTGGGGGAAAAAAGCTCTCCCCACACGGAACCCGGTTAAAGCCACAAGCAGCAGCAGAAGCACACGCCGCACCCTCTCTATTTCATTCCTCTTCAAAACCCGATGCGCCTTTGTGGGGGCCCGGGCTGGGGCCGGGGAGCCGCCCTCGCCGGCCGGGGTGGAAGAATCCCGGGCCGGGCCAGGGGCGGGGGAGGTTCGCGCCGACGCGGGATCCGGGCCGGGAGGGATGCGCCGCGGGCGCCGCGCTCGTTGCGGAGCGAGGCCCGGGGCCGCGCCGGCTGCCGCTTCCTTCCTGCGCCCGGGAAGAGGAGGAGCGGCTGGGGGGAGCACTGGCGGCTCCGGAGGGCGCCCTCAGGTGCTGGCGCGGCGGGCGGAACCTGCAGGTTCCAGCTCCGCGCTGTCCTGCTCAGCCCAGGAACCGGAAAGTTCATGCGTCTCGCTTCAACTTTTGGGGCCCGCGCCACAGCCCGGAGCGAGGAGCGAGCGCCCCTACACCAGGCGAAGAACCGGGCGAGAGCCTCTGGGCGCACTTCTGGCCCGTTTCTTTGGGGGTCGGCGGCAGCCTTTCTATGACCGGGGTCAATCTTGCCTTTGGAGTCCCCTTCCCACCGCCCTCCCTTCCTGACGCTAACCCTTGCCGGAAGCCCAGCATCTGTCTCTCCTCCCCCACCTTGGCTCTGTTTAGAGAAATGAACTCTCAGAACAAAGTAAAAATTCCCCCACCCGTGAGGCTTGCGTACCCCCTCCTTGGGGGCGCCCCTCCCCTCCCACCTCCCTGGCGTGTGAGCAGCCAGGTGCCATGTGGGGTAAGACTTGGAAGGCTACTGGAGGCCTTGTGCCGGTGGCCACCCCAGACTTGCCAAGGTGGGTGTTAGGGCCCATCAGAGTTACTATCCCTTGAGAAAATAAGGGAAAGAAAATAATTGGGAATTATTTTATAGTTGGTTAGCACTTAATAGCTTGCCATGGTTTTTCACCCGAGATTAGCCATTTAACATAACTGATACATGCATTATTAGCGTTATGGTAAGAAACAGGGCACCTGTGGCTCAGAGAGGTTATATTACTTGTTCAAGATCACACAGCTCTTGAATGGCAGAGCTTGCACCAGACCTAATGCTTCTGTTTCCAAATCCAGTGCTGTTTCTACTCTGTGTAGTAAGCATGAAATGAAGAAGAATCCAAGGAAACCCCTGTTTCCTTAGATGCAGTCTGCCTAAAGCCTTGCCCACATTTTTCTTCTTTTTTGGTAACTATGTGTAAAGGCATGATGGTGAAAATACTGGGTGTTGTGTAGGGAGTACACTGACTTTGGTATGTACTATTTGGCATTATGCATTCGGGACCCTGTCTGTGCCCGTGGTTTGTGTGAGGATAATGGAACATTTGTATCCTGCTTACAGAGTACAAAGCACTTTCACATGTCAGCCATTGGTGGGCCAGCTTGGCCCCTCTGGAAATTTCCTTTGCAATCAGAGTCTGGGCATCCTTAAGGCTTTTAATCCAGGGGATGTTTTTCAGGCTGCTAGCTTGCAGCTGCTGTGGCCAGCCTAGAGAAGGGGTTTGGATGGCAGATGTGAAGCTTGCAGAAAGCTGACCCCTTGGGGCTTTAAGCGGGACATTTTGCAAAAATGAACACCAGAGAGAGAGAGAGAGAGAGAGAGGAATTTGGGAAGGCAGCATTATTGGACTTGGTTTCCCTGAGACGGACTTATTATCATTATGTAATAATAATATGTAGTTCCCCTAGAGACGGGTTGAATTGGTTTTAATATAGACAGATGGACTCAGCTACCTACTGTTTCGGTTTTTTCTAGTTCTGTCACTTAAAAGAAAATCCAGAGTCTCTCTGTGCCAGTGGGGACTTGTATAGGAGAGGAGGGAAGAGAGGTTTGCCAGAGAGGTTTCCAAGCGGTTTCAGGGCTTTGTTGGGGAGGCCGAGAGCCCTGATGCCCTGGCTTACAAGGCACTTCCTCAGGGTGTGAGCTTGTTTTTCTGTGAGTTCTGTTTTGAACACCTCTCATCCTGCCTCCAGACAGTCCCCTGATCTAACAGCAGAAAGCACCAAGGATAGGAATGTGAAAGTGCGCGTGCTTGTTGACTTTTGGTCTGGGTTTCTTGGCAGCCCCGACTATCTGAGATCCGCTGAGATGACTGAAGTGATGATGAACACCCCATCCATGGAGGAGATGGGCCTCAGCCCCCGAAAGGACGGCCTTTCCTATCAGGTGAGTCCATCCCGGGGTCCTTCCGGCACTTCAGAGCCTGCTGACTTTTGCTGGGGCTGGAGGCAGATGTGGTTCTGCATCCCAGTGCCACCTGGAACAGCTGTGCGACCTTGGGAAACTCCCTTCATGCCAGTGAGCCTCAGTTTCTTTGTCTGTAAAATGGGGCAACCGTAGTCATTACCTCAGAGGATGGTGGTAAAGATTCAACCTGAGGAGATGCTGTGTGGAAGGCATTCACGGTGCCTGGGACACAGTCAGGGTTCGGCAGGCGTGAGCCGATGTCACTCATTCATCATCCTGGCTGCTGTGGCCTCTCACACTGGCAGCAGCAAGGGGGGCAGATGTGATTTAAGCAGTCAGTCCAGACCAGCGCTTCCCTTCACAGCCGTGCCTTGGGCACTAGAAACATCACCTCGAAGGGTAGCTTATGGGGAGAGGTGATTTGGTGGAGTGGAATGCTGCTTTCTTCCTCAGGTGATGGCTGACCCACTGAGGCCCACAGAGTTAATGTTCAGAGTACGTAGAATTGAGCCCTTTCCCCAGAGGCAAGCTGTCTCAGGGGTGTGATTTCTGGCGTCTAGATTAGACATCGTCCTACGTGATGGATCCAAAATACAGGAGGACCTCAAAAAGTGCCCTCAGTGTGACCTTCAGACTCTTAAAACGGTGCTCTTCCTCACCTGCGGTGCGCTCGCCTGCTGCCCCCAGCTAGCTACAATGGCACCTTATTGTCTCTGGGGACGTGAACTGTTCATATTTCCAAGGAGAGTCCCGAGGTTCTTACATGTGGGAGGGGAAAGAGTCTATTTTTAAGGGAAGACCTTGGAGCTAGGGAAATTGTGTGCAAACGGTGCTTGGCCTGGGGAAGATGAGTGGAGTGTCATGGGCCCATTCAGCAGATACTGAGTGTCTGCCGTGAGCCAGGCACTTTACAGATGGTGCTCATTTACTCTCGATCAGAGCTCTGCGGTGGGAGTTCTTGCTTTGTTTAACAGACGAAGAAACAGGCTCAGACTGTTGTAGTCCCAAACTGCAAAGCCTTGCTCTTCCGGTATGTCATGGGTCAGGACCTCGAGCTGGTTCCTGCTTAGAATCTAGACTGGCTCTGGCTAGTCCTTCTGTAGAACCATTCCAGGGCATTTATTTTGTAAAGGAAGAAACAAATAGAGAGCTGTGGGTGTGTGATGGGGGAGGGTTGATCAGAGAGCTGAGGCGAGAGCTGAGATCGTGTGAGGTAACTTGGTAGGTGACAGCAGAGTCAGCTCAGATGGGGAGGCTCAGGAAGGCCCCTCTGTTCGGTGTCAGGGTCTGGCTGAGCCCCTTTGGCTGGCTGGAAAGAAGTATTCGTGTGGCCTGAGGAGATGAGGGAAGCGGGGGGGAATACCCTTTCCTGGTTGCTTTTCTACCCTCCGCCCCCAGAGTGGGTCTGAGAGAGACCATCGAAGGCCCCAGAGCCTGTGGGAGGGTAGAAGTTTCCTGGCCCACCAGTGAGGGTGTTTTTGGATACCAGTTTCCAAGCCACTGAATCAGACTGAATCTCTTTGTGGTTACAGGTAAGGTTTTCTCTCAGTTCTGGGTTTTAGCGTTCCATCACAGAATGCTTCCAAACACAGTCTCAGTATAGCTTGTGTGTGCTTTCTGTGTTCTCCTTTTGAACATTTCCCGGGATCAAGGTGCCGCATCCTGCTGTGCTGTTGTCTCCACCTTTGGGCCACCCTGCCAGAGTGAGGGCCAGGACAGGTGAAGGGGGCGGAACGGACCGCAGTTGGTGGGGGGAGGCTGACTTGGGGTCGCAGCAGCGACCATCGGATCGCCTCCAGGCTCCCAAGATGTCATGATGCCACCTGAGGAAAAGGCCCTAACTCTCGCCTAGTGGAGCTGGCCTAAGAATCTGCATCCCATGGCCCCTCGGGAAATCCGTTCCTGCTGCCCGGGCGAGGGCTACTGTCCACTTCCAAAATACCTTACCTGGAGCTTCAAAGCACTCTTGTCACCAGATTTCAGAAAGGTCTTCTGGTTGCCTGCTGAAGAGAAAGGGGGAGAGCATCATTTGTCCTGGGTGCTTGCTGTCTGCACTGTGCTGCGGTGGGCGCTTGGTGGAGGGCCCAGGGCTCCCGGGGAGAGCAACATGGGCACAATACCCAGAACACAGGCAGTCTGGGGCAGCGGCGCAAGGCCATGGTCAGTCCAGGTGCAGATGGCTGTGAGAAGGCTTGGCCGGTCAGACTGGGGCCGGGCCCTGAGAGAATATTAGGACCGGAAGAGAGCAACTCCATCTCTAATCTAATTTTCTTGCACACCCAGATACCCCTTGGCTTGCCCCGGTTTATGCCGGCGGCCGGGCTCTGCAGCCGGCTGATCCAACGATTGTTATATGACCAATATCCTCTGGGCCCACTCAGAGCCAGTGTCACGCAATTAAACACATTCCCGCCGGAGCTCTGGGGACTGGCCGGGATTGCGCGGGCCCAAGCCCATCCCCGGTGCATGCTCGGGCTGGGCTCAGATCTGGGGAGGGACATCTCAGAACTCTGCTCTTGGCATCCTTCCCGAGAGTAATAATAGTACCTGGCTTTCACCAGGCCCTGCTTTTCCAAGGAACTGAAAGTGGGAAGGAGACATCAATCCCAACTTGGCAGATAAAAAAGAACCTCAGGCTTGTGATTTGACCTTGAGACAAGGTCGTAAAATGGATAGGCACCCTGGACTTTGTCAGTCATTCCCCCATCTTCCAGATCCACCCAAGAAGGAAGCTTTCCTCATTTCTCTGCCCCAGATGTGATCTCTTTCTTCGTTCAACACCTGTGGCATTTGTGTTCTGAAATAATGCCGCCCTGCCCTTTGTGGGTGCGGGTCCTGCCCAAGGCTCTGAGGGCAGGGGAGGCCTTCTTTCCTTCTTTGTGCCCATCAGCCTCCCCAGCCCAAGATGCCTGCTGGTTCCAGGCCTTTCCTGACAGGTGCCAAGTGAATGGTGGTTGTTTTGGTGAGGTTGAGTTTGATGATCTGAAAGCTGGCCATCTTTGCTTCTGCTTTAGGGTTTTGTTTTGTTTTCTTTTTTTAAAGATTTTATTTATTTGTTTGACAGAGAGATCACAAGTAGGCAGAGAGGCAGGCAGAGAGAGAGGGAGATACAGGCTCCCCGCTGAGCAGGGAGCCCGATGCGGGGCTTGATCCCAGGACCCCAAGATCATGACCTGAGCCGAAGGCAGAGGCTTAACCCACTGAGCTACCCAAGCGCCCCTCTGCTTTAGGGTTTTTAAAGGGTCTGTTCAACTCAGGCCTACCACGGCTTTGGATAAATATCTTTATGCCCTGGAAAATTCGGGTCAGCCCTACCTTTCGTGCTTGGGAGTTAGTGTCGTTTTGTGAGCATCTATAAAAGTCAACAGAGCCAGTGCCTGGTTTCATCTTAGCATTTACTTGGAGAGTCAGCTCGGTATGGGAACTCCATGTCTGCACACCCACTAGGCATGGATTATGGCACCTTGCTGGAGGTGTGAGTAAACAGTTACATGAAAGTCTGAGTACATTCTGGGTGGGCTGTGGGGAGTCGCCGGGTCACTTGGATTGAGTGGGAGGGTTCCCATGAGGACATTTAGATCCCCGATGGTGGCAGCTCCCTCCCCTCACTGCATCCGTGGGCCTCCCACGGTACCCCCACTTGTGGCACCAAAGCATCTCCTGCTGACACTTTCTTCCTTGACCCCAACTCAAGGAAGCAGGTCAGCGGCTGCCTTGTGGGGCCCTCCATTGGCTCCGGAGGCTCTAAGAGGGTAGCATTTTGGAGTGCCTCTCTGATGGGGTCTCCTTTGCTGCTGCAGCTGATCTGGCCTGGGTCCTGCGTTGGGAAGGATCCTGAGCGTTTGTCTGTAGATGCTGGCACGGCCCGGACCCAAGGGCTCTCGGCAATCTGGCCTTGCTCCCTGACTTGCCCCCGGCACAGTACACTGAGCCTTCTGCAGTCTTACCATTCTCACTAAGTTCTAGAGAGAGGTATGTCTCCTAGGTTTGCATTTAAAATTGTCCCTTCTCTAGCATCTGGACCGAGATCTGATAGCTCTGTCCTTCTCTAGGCTCTTTAAATTCCTCTCTGATCAGCTGGCATGTCTGACTGGCTGTTCCTTGTATCCCCTCTGCTGTTCTTGGTCATGTACTCCTGCCCCCTGACATCCCTCTCGCAGTCCGACAGGCAGCGGGCTCTCCTCTGGGAAGGCAGGGAGGAGGCACCGGAGAAGGAGCTCGCTCTTCGCACACCGCAGCCTTCCGTGTCCTGTGCCTTTGATCTGCAGAGCTCAGGACTTCCCTGCTTCCTCCCCTTTCTAAGACGGGAGGGAGGGATAGCCTGGCTTTTGCACCAGAGGGAAGAGGGAGAGTGGGGGGGGCTGACCTCTTGCCACAGCTCTATCCTTTGCTTCTTGCAGTCTGAGAGCCTGAGTCGGAGCTGGGCGTTCAGGATGGGGGTAGAGCACTAGGCCGGCTGAGAGCTGTCCCCCACCCCGATGGGATCTCTCAATCTCCTCTCTCTGCAAGGCCCGACAGCAGTGGGCTCCCCCGTCCCCCTCTTGCTGCCTCCCTTTATCAGAAGCGCAAGTCCTGTCTCAGTGAATAGGCTTGGGTAAATCTCTAAAGTTGGGCCTCGGTTTAGAAACCCCCTCTGTGTGGAGCCTTTCTTTAGGAAGACCCCCGAGTCTGGCTCCCCCGGGTGCTCCCACCTGTGCGAATGCACGTGTTGAAATACGTGACGGGTCGAACTTCCTGCCGGGGTTCAGCGCTCAGAGAGGTTTGAGCTCCTCGTCATCCCTGCCTCCCTCCCGGACAAGCCCTGCTCAGGAGGCCATTCCCGGGGGGAACCCATCCACCACCTGGTGAGGCCCAGTGGTGGTACCCCACATGTTCTCAAGAGTTTGGGAGGCCCTGCTGCGTGGCCTCATGGAAGCCCCATGGTCACTAGGAAATCATCTTCCACAATATCAGACTTGAAAAACCTCTGTTGTCCCTGG